TTGGAGAGAGGCCATTTTCCTCCTTTGCTCTTCACTCCGCTGTGTCTGCTGAGAGCCCTGAGGTTAACCAGCTGGAGACACGCACGGTCCACGCACGGAAAACAGGCTGTCAGCGTTTGGGAAGAGGCTTCTAGACGTTCTTTGGAGAATACTAGTACGTAGCTGAGACAAAAACCTGGTGTTGGTCGTGCCCGTCTAGGTGAGTGTGCTGGGGAGGCCACTGAGGGACATTTCTCTCTGCTGGTCTTTGTGTCGGTGACTGAGAACACAGCCTGATGCTGTGGATTGTCGCCCGCCTCCGGAAGGAGAAGGCTGCTCTATCTAAAAACTGCCATTGCATCCAGGAGCGAGTCTGCATCACAGCAATTTGCTATTTTCTGCTCCAGGGACGGAAAAGCAGACACAGCTTAGCTTTAGCTGCTTCCACTTCAGTATCCTTGCCCCTTCCTTGCCCCTGAAACATAGATTTCCCCCCCAAGATTCCAGCAGGAGGGGAACTGGCCTTTAATTGTATAATATGAGCTTCTTGAATAGGGTCATTAAGGTTTCTGAGCCTCGGCATGGCCGACATTTGGCTCCGGATAATTCTTTGTGGTGGGACTGTCCCGTGGATCGGGCGATTTTTAGCAGCATCCTGGGCCTCTGTTCACTAGGGGCGCCCCACTAGCACCCCTCCCCAACCTCAGCTGTGACAACCAGAGGCCTCTCCACATACTGCCCATGTCCTCTGAGGGCAGCGTCGCCCCCAGGTGGAGAGCACTCCCTGGAGATAATGAACATCATCATTAGAACTCGAAGCACATTCCATGTTCCCAGACCATCTCTATTTAAAGAATGGCACACGCGGGTCTCTGGCAATTTGTACAGAAACTGAACCTTTGTGCGACAAAAAGCTGGGCTCTGCCTTCTAGGTGACAATGCTGAAATGCAATCCAAAACCTCATTCAGGGCTTCCTCCGATTACATCAGTTCATTATTTCATATTGTGTGGGGTCTTTTCCAGGCGACAAATTGGATTTTGATTTTTGAAAGCATGGCAGTTGGATTTTTAATAATATTTAGGATTAAAAGGGAAGATGAGAAAACTTTTATTTTCTCGTTATAAGTGCCCCTAATTGAATTTTAGAAAGTCTGTTTGGAAGAAGTTAGACGTTAGACAACATGTTGTGAGGCATGCGGATGCTTCAACCTGGTCAGAGGGAGAACAGACCCCAGATTAGCCGTGGGCAAACTACGGCCCGCGGGCCGGATCCGGCCGTTTGAAATGAATAAAACTAAAAAAAAAAAAAAAGACCGTACCCTTTTATGTAATGATGTTTACTTTGAATTTATATTAGTTCACACAAACACTCCATCCATGCTTTTGTTCCAGCCCTCCGGTCCAGTTTAAGAACCCATTGTGGCCCTCGAGTCAAAAAGTTTGCCCACCCCTGCCCCAGATGCTTGGAGGGTCTCGAGAAAAACGAGCAGCCATGAGCTCATGTGATGATGGTTCATTTCATGTGCCAACTTGGCTGGGCCATGGCGCCCAGATATTTGGTCAGACATTATTCTGGAGGTTTCTGTGAGGGTGCTTTGGGTTGACATATATATTTAAATCAGTGGACTTGGAGTGAGCTGCAGTGCCCTCCATAATGTGGGTGCACCTCATCAAATCAGTTGATAGCCTTCAGTAGAACGGACTGACCTCCCCTGCCCCTGCTCCCAAGATGCCTTTGGACTTGAACTGCAACACCGGCTCTCCTCTGGGTCTCCAGCTTGCTGACTGACCCTGTAGATTTTGGACTTGCCAGTTTCCATTATCACCTGAGCCAATTCCTTAAAGCAAATATCTATTTATCTATCTACCTACTATCCACATCCTATTGGCTTGGTTTCTCTGGAGAACCCTGGCTAACACAACTAGAGGAGAAATCCCAAGCAGTTTCTTGGTTAAGCGTCACCACCCACTCACCCTGTTTTCCAGGAGCATATGGCTGTAGACGCCTCCTGGGAGGGTTCCGCAACGCACTGTTTCCTTGTTTTTGTTTTGTCTCCTTTCGATTCTGCAGAGGCCAGCAGGATGCCAGGTCTTGGGGGGAAAAGGTTTACTTTGGGTTTGTAAGAAGCAGCATTTAAGCAGCACAGCAGCTGTCAAGTTGGAAAAAGCTGCGGAACAGCAGAAGAGCACCCCAGGCCGCCGGGGCAGGCAGCAGATGTTCTCAAAATAATTAATTAATTAAGAACCTGGCTGGGTCTGGCAATGTCTCCCCTCCCCACCCAGACCCTCCCGTAGCCCTGCCCTACAGCTGCTTCTCCATGACACGCTGACGCACACACGGGCTCATGTGTGTGTCCATAGCTAGCTTGTGAAAGGACCGGGACCGAGGACACGCAGCAGTATCATTCTGCTTCGGGAATGTTGTGTGCAGGCGAGTCAGCGTTCCAGATCCTGACACACCCCAGATCCTCCCCTGACCAGTGGGGCACCTCCCGGTGTCAGTCTGGGATCTGACTGTGGACCTCAAGGTTGGATAGTTGTGATTATTTTTGCATCCCACTCATATGGGTTACAGAAGAGAGGCGAATGTCTTGCTTGTCAAAAGCTGCTCACAGCCACCCCAGACTTCCTGCTAATTGTTCCTCCCTAAGTCTGTTCCCAAAGGGCCCATAGCACAGGGCCAGCTGCTAGGTGCAAGCAGGATGTTTTAATCAACTGCCTTAAGCTTTTCCATTTTTGGACGTTTTAAAGTAGATGATTAGACTCAAGGTGCCACACGTCCAATAGTCCGACTTTGTGTCTGTGAAACAGTTTGTGAAAATACCCATCATGCATGCATGTTTGTGTTTCTATAGAAACCATCTGGCAACCCTAGTAAAATGTAAGAGAAAAATCTCTGAAATGTAAGAAAAGACAAGCCATGAGGAGAAATGCAGGGGCTTTATTATAATCAGTATTATTCTTCAAGTTAACAATTGGTACTCATTGAGGAAACAGTATGCTTTCAGCAAGCCACAGATACATGCCAGGTGCAACTACAAGTACATGAACATGCCCCTTGGGAAACAGCACGGCGCTCCTGCCTGCAAACCCAGGTATCAACAACGCGCCTACATTTCTGTAGCGGAAGGTGCAAGGGTCTGCACAGGCCTGACCTGCACTGCCTGCTCTCAGCGCCCTTCTGGGATGCCAACTCTGGGGGGTGGGGAGCTGCTTGCTCCGTGTGCCCCACGACCATGCTGCCCACAGAGTGTGCCTCTCCAAAGCCAGCCTTGGTGTAAACCAACCTCTCAGACTAAGAAATACCAGATGTGATCACATGGTACCTTGAAGGTTAGACTCCAGCTTCCGCAAGCCAGTGGGAGGAAACGACACGGCCTTCAGAAAGCCAGGCAGGGCTTTTCCCTCAGGGGAGGGCATGGGTCTGCCTAGGTCTGAGTCACCCCTGCTCATCGCAGCTCTGGACTGAATGGCATCGCAAGGCTGGTGGCGGGCACGCTGCTCACAGCGCACTGCTGGCCTGCAGCAAATGCCACTGCTGGCAAGTGGGGTGGCTGGTGGGAGGGCCCTCCCCAGGCCTCTGCTCAGGAAGATCTGAAGGCACCTTTTGCTTTTCAGAAAAGCAGGCACTCCACCCCCGAACCAGAGAGCAGCCCAGGGCGGCTCTGGGCAGGAAACACACAGAAAGCGGGGCCACCTGACGGGCCCAAGTGAAGGTGGGCCCAGCAAACGTGCACAGGCAGAAGGCAACTGGACAGCTGGGCCCCTGGCTCACAGGCTTTTCTAGCTCTAATGGAATGTGGTGTCTCTTATTCCCAGGGAGACAAAGGGCAGGTTCGGTCTGTTCTCTCTGCGTTCACTTCTCTCCCCATGCAGTCTGTGCTCTTGCTGTGTGTCCAGAATTGGCTATCCGTCTGCCTGGCCAGTGGCCACTTCCAGAACTCAGAGACAGCTCTAGAGGTGAGTGATGACAAACACGAATTTGTCTCGATTGCTCGGGTGCAGGCTGCCTTGAAGGCGGGGCAGTGCTGGACTTGGGACCCACACTGAGATCTCCTCCCAGAGGTACTACCTTCGGGCAAACTACCTGCCCTTCAATTGAATAACAGAGCCACCTCAGAGAGGCAAACTGTTCTTTGGTCCTTCTGGGGTCGCCCTGCACAGGGACCCCTGGTCGCACAGGGAGTGACATTCAGGGCTGCTGTGGTCCGTTTTAAGTCTTCCTTGATGTCTTTCTGAAACCCACCCCCGTAATGAACACCCTCATTTCATACGCTCCCTTAGGTGTGCAGATTTGATTGTCCTAGTGCTCAGAAGCATAAAACGATTGAGCTTTCCTCCTAATGTCAATCCAATCCTCCCACATCTGTGCCCTTTTGTTTTTAAGACCACAGGCAGGACTTTTAGTCAATGGCTCAAATAGTTCTAAAGCTAAACTCTAAGCAACTTCATTTTGCTCAGAACTCGGCAGGTTCTGCTAACGGCCCCTCACCAAACAGGACTCCCTGGGAACAAGGTTTGGGGTCTGTTTCTAGCTTTGATTGGAAATGTAAGGCAAAGGAAGGGCGCATTGCTTTGCCTTAGATCTCCCATGGAAAAGTGTTTGGAAGAAAATGCAGTTCTCTTTGCCGGGGAAATACCAAATGTCAGGAACCAGGCAGGGCAGGGGAGGGCGCTGGGTCCTCGCGGTCACTTGCGAGGCTGCTGGATGTGCTGGGTTCTATGGGACGGGTACTTGTCCATGGAGGCGTGGGGCTTCTGGTGAGCCACCTGGGCGGCCGCCGGGGGGAAGTCCTTGTCGCCCTGTCGGAGACACAGAAGGAAGGCATGGCGTCATCAACACTGACTAGCTGGGTTCGTGCAGGAGCAAGGCCCCAACCCCGAGTCCACCGTGTCCCTGCAGCGTGGGTGATGGACTGGGGGCCTATGGGCAGGCAGGAGCCTGTCCCCTGGCCTGTGGGGGCCCTGAAGCTCCCTGGGGAGCGGAGGGGCACTGAGGCCCACACACCACCTAGAAGGTGAGGATCTGGCTGTCTCTGCCCACATGCCTGAGATTGCAAACTACATGTGTTTGGGTGTCTTCTGCTAGAACTGCTCCTGTAATTGTCTGAACTGGGGGCCTGACAGAATCAAATCCAGGCCTTCCATTCAGATCTGCCACCACAGCTGTGAGCCGGGAAGGATACCAAAGGGCAGGGCTGTAAGGTGTGAGACAGCACCTGTCTTCACCTGCCAGGCCTTGAAGAAGGTACCCCTGTCTCCAGGGAGGAATCACTGGGTGCCACAGGGCCTGTGAGGCTGCCGCCAGGGCTGCTCCGGTTAACCAACTGGCCATGGTTGACCTCAAACTTGTGTCTGCATTTACTTTTCTCACATGTAGTAGACGTGCCACTCATCTGTCCCAGCGTCTCAGCACGGCTGTGGTGAGCTGTCCCCAGCAACGACATTTTCTTCACACATCATATGCTAAGTGCTCAGCTGTACTGTGAGCCACAGAACTGTGGGTGGTGTTAGTTAGCGTGTCCTCCTCACAATGGGAGTTAGCTGGTGGGAGGACTGGAGTTACAGAACACTGGGTTCTCCACAAGAGGGTGCTCTTTGTAAAGGGTATGACTAAAGCCCATGTGTTTAGACCAGGGGTTGGCAAGCACTTTCTATAATATGTCAGGTAGTAAATATTTTAGGCTTTGCGGGTCATACGATCTGCCTCAACTATTTGGTCGGCCACTGCAGCATGAAAGCAGCTGTAGACGATGCATACAGGATGGGCGTGGCTGTGTGCCACGAAAACTTCACGCTGAAATCTGAATTGCATATAATTTTCACATGTCATGAATATAGACTTCTTACTTTGATTTTTTCAACTATTTAAAAATGTAAAAGCATTCTCAGCTCAGTCTCCCAGAAGCACTTGGCCGGTGGGTAGCTGTGGTCCCTGGCCAAGTCCAAAAAGAAGGGAGACAGGTGAGGAGGAGGAGAGGCAGCTGCTCCCACCCCCGCTGTGTGCTCCATGCCGTCTCTGTCCCTAGTTCCCCACTATGCGCTCGTGGACAGGAGACCACAGAACACCACTGGCCCCATGGAAGAATGGGGTTAGCAAAGACAAGGGACCGAAAGACCTCACGCTGAGGCCCATGTGATGAAGGCTCTTACCCGGGCGATGACACCGGAGATGTACACGGTGGGTTTAGGCGGGCTGTAAGACAAGAAGGGAAAAGACAATTTAGCAGGAAACTCACAAAAGGGGGCTGTGGCAGCGACAACAGGTGGATGAGGTCAGTTTGAGGGGAGGGAATAAGCATGGCTGAGGAGGGAAGAGAAGTGGGAAGGTTATTTCACCACAACTACCACCTGGCCGCTGGGCTCAGGACACCTGTGGAGTCCTCCTGAGGGAGGCCAGGCAGGGGAGTTGCTGGAAAGCACTTTCCTTTTGTTCTTTGGTTCATCCTCAGGCCTCAATTTGTAACTACGGGCAAGCCCAGTGGTTTTGGTTTCAGATTACAGACACAGGCGTCCCTGAAGCAGTAAGTCAGGGTCACACCGGATGAACTGGAGACTCTAGGAAGCTCCCTGTTCTGTGAGCTGAGGGTCCCCTTCCACAGTCCTCGTGGGGCCCGTGGCTTACAGCAGCTGCTAAGGGGCAAGACCCAGAGCCAATGCACTCCTGGCCCCTAGGGGACCCCAAGCAGGTCCTTCCGAAGCTATTGTCAACGTTAACATCTGCTATCCTACTGAACTCGCCACTGTCACCAAAACTGAGGGGATGGACACAGGGCCAAAATCATACATGTTCATAGTTGAGAATCAGACAAACCCAAACATGTTAGAATCTAGGAGGAGCCTGAAATAGAGATGGTTCTGTTCTGATAATTATGCAGCATCACCTTCCAGTAAAGCCCGGCCATCTGTAGGCGCGGTGAGCCCATGACTACTTCCATCATTGCCAGTTTATGTTGGTTTTGTAACCTACATCAAGCTTCTGAAGGCAGAAACAGAGACACACCCTCCCCCCGCAAGAGCCTGATGAGAAAGTCACCCAGAGAGATGAATCTAGTCATAAGAGATGCATGATAGAGACCAGCTCCTCTGCCTATATATATATATATATATATATATATATATATATAGACACACATATCCTGTTTCTCTACATATATATGTTCAATGTATTGTTGAAAAGCAGACAAGCAGAAAAAAGTTAGTCACTTCTAACTCTCTGTTACGATGTGTATGACCCTGATGCACAGAACTGAACTATAAAGAACTGTACCTGAATTAGCAGGCTGTGCTCTGAGAAGGTAGAGCGTCTGGCCCTTGGGAGAGGGTTGGCCCTGTTGCAGGCAGAACAGCAGCCTGCAGCGCCCACCGCAGTATCTGTCCCAGCACCTGCTCACCCCTGTGTGCGTGTGCGTGTGCGTGGAGAAAGGGTCTCCAGATGCAGCGCCCCACCATGGGGCCCCACACTTCCACCGGTGGCCTCCCTGGCCTCAGTGAGCCTTAGAGGTGACACTTCCCACTCTGGCCCCGGGCGTCTCCCACGTTAAACACGATGAGGGTGGGTCCTAGGTCTTGACTGAGCATGCCTGGGGAAATGCGTGTGTGGATGGTTATGATCAGAGGTCGCAGTGACCCTGCTCCGGCCTGGACATCAGAAAATGCAGGCAGATGCTGCAGCCTCATTGCTGCCCTCTGATGCCCAGTGGCAGGTATAGCGCTTACCTTCCTGGCACCCACCTTAGCGTCTCCCCTCAAGCGAGCCTCTCTAGGAGACAGTCACAGCGTGATGCTGAATGGCTAGAACACTTTGGACTCTGGGGCTAAAGGAGACCCCCCCCCCCCCCCGCCAGTCCCAGCTCAGTCCCTAAGGAGAGTCAGAGACTGAGGGCAGACCTCAGGGCCACACGGTGATTCTCCTCGCTGACCCCTATCTTACAGAGGCACCCACTCTGACTCGTTAGCACTTAAGCTGCTGAGTTTTGAGGGCATTTTGGATTCTACTCATCGAAGGACAGTGTAGCAGAGAAGAGCCTGTTGGTCTCAGAGGGAAGGCAATAGTCCTGCGGATCCAGCAGGCTGGAGAAGAGGTTCTTGCTGCAGAGTGCACCATTTCTGTGTTGTTTTTTAAACAACATCGAAGAATTGTACTGGACTTGCAGAGTCTCCTCCAGGCTGGAGGGCAGACTCCAGCCTGTGTTGCTCTGCTACACCACCTTCCTTCAGAGCGCAAGCTCTCCCCTCCCTGCCAAGTGTGCTGCAAACCCCAGCTAGCTCAGCAACTAATTAACATTTAAAAAATTTACCTTTAAGCCATTTTTAATTGTACAATTCAGTGCCATTAAGTACATTCACATTGTTATACAACCATCACCACGATCCATTTCCAGAACTTCATCAACAGAAACTCTACCTAGTAAGCAATAACTCCTCGTCTCCCTTCCCTTAAACACTGGTAACTGCTGTTCTACTGTCTGTCCTGAGGATTCAACTAGTCTAGTACCCCGTGTAAGTGGAATCATACAGTCTTTCTCTTTTTGTGGCTGGCTATTTCACTGAACGTTACGTCTTCGAGGTTCATCCATGTTGTAGCATGACAGAATTTCCTTGCTTCTCAAAGGCTGAGTGGTATTTCATTGTGTGGATAGACCACATTTTGTTTATCCATTCATCTGTGATGGGCTCTTAAGTTGTTTCTCCCTTTGGACTATTGGGATTAATGATGCTATGGCCATGGGCGTACCAGTATCTGAGACCCTGCTTTCAATTCTTCCGTGCGGACACTCAGAAGTAGAGTTGCTGGGCCATGTGTTAATCCTGTGTTTAACCCGAGGAGCCACCATGCTGATGTCCACGGCAGTCCCAACATTTCAGATTCCCACCAGCAATGCACACGATTCCGGTGTCTCACACCTCACCAACACTTGTTATTGTCTGTTTTTTTGATAGTATTCATCCTAATGTGTGAGTGATATCTCACTGTGGTTTAGATTTAACAGATAATTTTAAGAATAAGCTTTTCTGCATCAGGAAATAATATCAATCTGTACTGAGCATTCATTCAAGATCTTTGTGACACAAACTCCCCCCACCCCCCAAAAAAGTCTTCTTCTCTTTTCTAAAACTGGAAAGGCCGTACTCGATGGTGAGGACGCAGGGCGGCCGCCTCCTGTGTAACACTCGCCAGCGCTGCCTGTACCACACAGCCTCACGCTGATAGAGCATGCGTCGCACTGCGCGTTCCATCCAGCTTGGCCCTGAGCTTCACTGCCTTTTTCACCTACAATTAATAGCATCTCAGATTGGTAAGTGTTTGTTTATTACATCTATACAGGAAAAACTCTTCCTCAACTCCTTGAGCTATGGTAGCTTAAACCAAAATTCACAAATGAGAAACCCTGGTAAAGCGTCTGCTTGCAAAACCATGTTTGCAAAAACACGCGTATTTTCAATTCCATTAGGGTTCCATGCAAAGCATAACCTACATTTCCAAGATTCTAGAAACTGTGATCACGGCTCCGAGGATTTATTTAATCTGATGGAAATCATTCTGACAGCTGTTGTTTTGAAGATGCAACATGACTTTCTCTCAGGAAACAGAGACACTGAAAAATATCACTCCTGCCTTCCCACATCCTCAGGCCTCCCCAGTTTTAAAAAGCACACTTATTTAAAATTGAAGAAACTGCAGTGAGGCAGAATTAGGGGGGGCTAGAGCCCAGATAACACCTATACATCAGCAGAAACTGTAGCTTCCACAACTGGCCTGTTGGCCTGAGGGTTTGATGCACGTAGGTTTTCAGGGTACCCCTGTTAAGGAACACACAAAAGTCTTACCAGTGTCATCTCTCCTGAACAAAACTTGCCTATTATTTATTTTCCTTGACGGATAAAGTGTATGCCTTATAGGCATTCCAGACAGGCAGAATTGAAATGCCAGAAAATGCTTTGTGAATGGGTGACCCCAGGGAATGCAGACACCCTCAGGACCAGTTTGGTGATCTCATCTTTAAATGAAAGTCCCCAGAGCTGAGAAACGGAATTCATATTTATAAAACTCCCCTGAACTCTAAAACAGTGATTATTGAAATATCTGTCAATATATTTTATTCAACTCAACTTACCTAAAACACTACCAGCCCAATGTGTAATCACTAGGAAAATCATTGAGATCATAGTACTTGACGTCTTCGAGTGCCCTAAGACTTCATACCTGGACTGTCGGTGCAAGTCCCGGGTGACGTGACGCTCTCTGCCCAGCTCTGAGCAGTCTCAATTGACCTTGGCAGCCCAGCTTCCCTCCCATGTGGTCATCGGCAGCACTGAGGCACCCAGAAAGGCTACATGGGGACCTGGGAGGAGGTCATTATGGGGCACGCCCTCCCCTCCTGGTAAGAAAGAGCCTGAGTACTCAGAAGGGATTTCCCCCTAAAAATCTCCCTAAAAGCCCAAGTTGCCTGTGAGTCAGGGAGCGGCTGTCATACACATTCAGGCCCAGAGAACTGTGTCACAGTCTCGATTTCATTTTCCAACAAGCAGGTCACAGTTCTGTGAGAAGGGGCCCTTCTCGCCTAATGCCCAAATACCGAGGCACCTCATTTAACCGGCAGCCTTCTACCTAGGGACACCATACTGCTCCCAGACCACTCGGCCTTTGGGGAATCTATGCAGGGGATGGGGAGGTACCCTGACTCCCCCAAATCCAGCCCCACTAATGGAAACACAGTGCACCCCACCACTGACGGGATGGAGGGCTTCCCTGTGCCTGGAAGAGCCACAATGCCACCCACAGGCTTGACAGTGCTGGCCCAGCCCGTCCTGTGGCCAGAGAGAGAGCGAGGGCAGCACAGCTTCTGTCCTCAGCGAGCTCACGCCAGTGCAGGAGTCGGGGTTAAAATTTTAAATTGGGATGATGCTAGGAAAGAATCAGGCAGGTGCTCTGCTAAATACACTTGTGGGGCCTAATACACAGAGGGGAGCCAATACAGATCTGGGGAGGTAACGTTTAAGCTGAGGTCCGTGTGTGCAGGTGCACGCACCTGTGCACGACAAGTATGACAGGAAGGGGGACACAATGCCAGGGCCCCGTGCACCAAAGGAAGGGGCGCGATTTAATTTGCTTTTGTTAGCACAAAGTCAGCAAGGTCTCGGGGGCGGAGGTCTTCTCCTACAATGATGGGGTGGGCGATTTGGGGTGCGGCC